GTTCAACCTTTCTTTTTGTTGGTCTTCTCATGGTCCAATATACACAGGTAACAGGTATTGTATCTTCCTAAACAACACATGTACGGTACCATCACCGAGATGGACCAATGCCGTTCTTCCAGTAAAAAGATTTCGACACACGACCAAAATTTCAGCACCGAGAGAGATCTTTCTTTTTTTTCGGTAGTGGTAAGGGTGGGGGTGGGTGGTGGGGGTTTAATCGTAACACTAAATCCGCCTATATATTAAGCCGTGGGTTCATCTTTCGAATCAGTACAGTAACACAACTCACATCTAAGAATTACATTTCTTTTCGACGTTTAAGAAAGACGATAAACGAATTATTTCATCCAAGATGAAACTGGTGCGTGTGTTTAATTTTTTTTGGTTTTTTTTTGGTTTTTTTTTTTTTTTTAAAGAAAATACATTGGATATATTTTCTCATCTTTTTGTGTACTATGGAAATTGTTTTTATTTCTTTTTTTTTTTTTTTATATATATATATAAAATATGACAATAATTTACTAACAAGTGTAAAATTGATTAAACGCATACTTAAACGTTTTTCATTAAATTTATAAGATTTTTTCTTGATCAAAATTAACGTACAACTCGTGTCATTGGAAATCTTGAAAATGTTGATAAATACGTCGTAAAAAGCGTTTAATAATTTTTATTTTTTTTTGTATTTTTCTCTCAATTATATCTCACTGCGATAACGAGTATCGATAACGTCAATTAATTGCAAATGTACTAACGTAATCGATTTTCCAACTGGTTCGATAATTGTTTTCCTATTTCGAGAAAATATTGACATCATCGTTTACAATCATTTCTAAATATAAATGAGATAATAAGAAAAAATTGAATTGTTTTTCTTTTTTATTAGATCATAGTAGCATTCGTCGCCCTATTAGCTGTCGCCCTTGCTCTACCACAACCACAGCAAGAAGTTGTACTAGTTAAGGAAACACCCTCTGACAATATTGGTGTTGGTGGTTACAACTTTGGTTATGAACTTTCAAATGGTCAACACCATCAAGAATCCGCCGAATTGAAAAATGCTGGAAGTGAAGATGAAGCACTCGTTGTTAGGGGTTCCTTCAGTTGGGTTGACCCAGTTACCAATCAACGATACGACGTCTCATACGTTGCCGATGAAAATGGTTTCCAACCACAAGGCGAACATCTTCCAAAAGCTTGATTTCATTATTACCAATATAAAAATAGGATTGTATAGTTATAATAATAAAATTATTTTATAATCAATTATCATACAATATTCATCCTTTTTATTTCCAATTACATCTTATGCCATTTCTTCTTCTTCTTATTATTATTATTATTATTCATAATAGTTTAAAGATACTTTCTAAATAATAAATCATTTTTAATATATATATATATACATGTGATTTATGATTGAAGAAAATTTCATTTTGATTTCAAGAAGAATTATACTCAATTCTGTTGTAGGACGACACGTGTTACGTTCGTACTACTTAAACGAACAATCTTACGCATTGCACCACCTGCAAATGTTATTTAAATGTTAATTAGTCATTATTCAATATTTTAATACAAGTATTTTACCATTGCATTGAAATCGATACTACATTCATTTGAAACATATCTGAAATATTTATTTATTTAAAAAAAAAAATAAAAAAATACTAAAAAATAAGATTAAGTTTTTATTGTTATTGATATTGAATGCACGCACAATCTAAGATAAATAAATATAATAAATTATAAAATAAAGTAACGTAATATTTCTTCTTTTTTTTACAAATATTATATATTACTGAATGCAATGTGATATTTCTTATGCACATGCATTACATCTGTCCTTTTTCTTCCTTCAAACACATTTTTACGTAACAATTTATATCCTTATGCTATGTTAAACATAATACTCGTTAGTTATAATACATATAGGTATATAGTACACCTATATTAATTAATTATTATTATTATTATTATTAATTGGCATTAGGAATTCGAAAGTTCATTGCCACAAATACCAAATCCCGCCATTGTTCCCGTCCCTGAACGCGATCCTTCCATTCGCGGTCCTCCTATCCTATTTCTATTTCATTCAGGTCTCCTATATTAATTAATATAAACAATAATTAATATTTTTATTTAATAAAATACAAATTTCTCAATCTCAAACAAAATAAACTCATTTCACATAATATTTTATTAAGTCTATTCGTTAATTAAATAAATATGTTAAACTGTGGGGGTCCTCGTTTGAGAACACACACCGTTTTATGTTGCCAGAATCAAACTATGACAAGTATACTCGTCAATACACAAAATTGTGCCACTTCTATATGTATTACTGAATGCAATGTGATATTTCTTATGCATACGCATTACATCTGTCCTTTTTCTTCCTTCAAATACTTTTTTACGTAACAATTCATATCCTTATGCTATGTTAAACATAATACTCGTTAGTTATAATACATACAGGTATATAATACACCTATATTAATTAATATAAACAATAAACAATATTTTTTCATTTAATAAAATACAAATTTATCTCAAACTTATTTCACATAATATTTTATTAAGTCTATTCGTTAATTAAATAAAAATGTTAAACTGTGGGGGGGGGGCCCTCGTTTGAAAGCATACACCGTTTTGTATCGTCAGAATCTAACACATGACAAGTATACTCGTCAATACACAATTAACTAATTAATATACGTTCATAAACATTTATTAATTGTTACAAATAATATTAATAATAATACTAATAACTGTTTATAATAAAATAAAAATGTTAAACTATGGGGGCCCTTGTTTGAGAGCACACACCGTTTTGTATCGTCAGAATCTAGCACGTGACAAGTATACTCGTCAATACACAAAATCGTGCTACTATTCTATGACGAGTATACTCGTCAATAAACAAAATCGTCCTATTTTTCTATGACGAGTATACTCGTCAATACACAATTAACTCATTAATATACGTTCATAAACATTTATCAATTGTTACGAATAATATTAATAATTTTTTATAATAAAATACAATGAAAATAAAATAAATATTCATGGTATGATCTTTGCAACATATTAAAGTTAATCATGCGTGTTTGACATTGAAGATCGTCCTCGACATAAAAAAAATTGATTTTTAATTTCGATCAATTTTTTGATAATAATAATAATAATAATAATAGTAATAAAAATAAAAAAATAAATAATAACAGGATGAATATGAGCATGGTTTCGTTCGTTCGTTCGTTCGTTCGTTCGTTCGTTCGTTAGTTTGTAAGGTCACGAAGATGATAGCCAATTGCGTAAGAATAAAATACCGCATAAAAGTTCGACGGATATCATAAGACCAGTTTTCCTTGATCGATCCATCCGTGGGATTATTCAAGTGTATAGTAGTTTATTATTCGTGGATAGGTTGTTTCCGATGTATCCAAGGTTTTCAAAGATTGACACCACTTATATTAATTTTTGGTACATTGAATAATGAAATACTTTTTCCTTTGTAATAGATTCGCATTTTATTGAATCAATGAATCCTCTCTATGATTGCCTAAGGCAAATTCATAGAAATTATTTTGCTATGGTGTCCTTCGCATATATATATATATTTTTTTTTTTTTTGAATATGGGTTTAGTGAATTGTATTGGATATCATTAATAATTTCAATCTAGTCAAAGGTTGTACACATTTTTATTAATTAGTCATCGATATCTTGCATAATTCATTAAAACTAGACTGTTTGTACTTGAATTGTTAAATTTAAAATTATTACTATTATTACTATTATTATTAGGACGATGAACAACATCTTAGAAGAATTTCTAAACATCGTTTCAAATTCTTAGGAAGTAGATAAGTTGTTTCCGATGTATCCAAGGTTTTCAAAGATTGACACCACTTATTTTAGTTTTTGGTACTTTGAATAATGAAATTCTTTTTCCTTTGTAATAGATTCGCATTTTATTGAATCAATGAATCCTCTCTATGATTGCCTAAGGCAAATTCTTAGAGATTATTTTGCTATGGTGTCCTTCGCATATATATTTATTTTGAATATAGGTTTACCTATTGGTAAATACTAAATTATATTGGATATCATTAATAATTTCAATCTAGTCGAAGGTCGTACACAGTTTTATTAACTAGTCATCGATATCTTGCATAATTCATTAAAACTAGACTGTTTGTATTTGAATTGTCCAATTTAAAATTATTCTTATTATTATTATTATTATTAGGATGATGAACAACATCTTAGAAGAATTTCTAAAGAACGTTTCAAATTCTTAAGAAAGTTTTCTTTTTTATAATTTACACGCATTTAGAAAGTATTTTTGGGGAATTAAGAAGGAAAGTTTTGTAACAATTACAATTAGTATGAATATTTAATCGAAAATAAAGTTTTTTTTTTCTTTTCTTTTTTTTTTTTAATTCATCGATCCTTCAAACGACTAAGCTTCTTTAAAATTTTTATTCGAAATATTTGATCTTTAACGATATCTTTTATTCATAAATAGAAATTCTATGAAATAGTCTTTCACGTTGAATGAGAAAAAGAGAAAGAGAGAAAGAGAGACAGAGAAAGAGAGAGAGAGAATTTCTCGTAGTATTCAGGTGTATTTGCTATGACTATTCTTATACAATGACAGATAATTGAGATATGAAGTACGTGACAAGTAAAGTATAATCGTGAAATCCTTTATAAAGGAGTTATTTGTATGATAAACATTGTTACTATCTTAAACGTATAATAATCATTGCACATTTAATGTGTATATTTTAATATAAACGTTCAAAGATGTTCGTGTAATTTTTATTTATAAATGCAGGTCTTTAAGAAAATTTGCTTCTTTTTCTTTTTTTTTTTTTATTATCTGATCACGAATAAGATAATATCGAAATAAAAATTCATTTCCAAAAATACGTAATTACGATTTAATTACAGTAATTAAATACAATTACGTATTATCAATCACTGTAATATTAATATAACATTCATTATATGGAAGACATACGTGTAAGGTAAGATAACAGGTAATTTTTTAATGATGTATATGTATTCAAAAAAAAAAGGAAAAGAAAAATTCAAAAATTGATAATATTGGAAACGTAAACCAGTAGGAAGGTCAAAATATCAGAGATGGCAAGCGGGCGTGTGCTCATCATTGGTAAAGTGGACAAAAAGTGAAAGGTGAAATTCAATGGTGGTGTAACAAAATTTTGGCAGTAGGAGGACCAGTATAAAATGACCGTAAGCATCCTCAAAGTTACCACAGTCGTATCCAGTCGTCTTCTCATTCAAACGAGACACCAAATTCGATTAGTAATCATGAAGATGGTAGGTATACAATGAATTAACATTGAAAATAAATATTCTAACAATTTCATCAAAATCTGTATTGTTATTGACAAGATTTAACAAACAATATTATTATTATTATTATTATTATTCATGAAATTATGTTAAATTTAATTATTTTATTTCAGATCATAATCTTGTTCGCCGTCATGGTTGTTGCATATGCACTACCAGCTCCACAAACTGTTCAACACGATGAAGTTGCGCTCGTTAAGGAAACACCCTCTGACAATATTGGTCTTGGTGGTTACAATTATGGTTATGAACTTTCAAATGGTCAACACCATCAAGAATCCGCCGAATTGAAAAATGCTGGAAGTGAAGATGAAGCACTCGTTGTTAGGGGTACCTTCGGTTGGGTTGATCCAGTTACCAATCAACGATACGACGTCTCATATGTTGCTGATGAAAATGGTTTCCACCCACAAGGAGAACATCTTCCATCATAAATTTGGTTTTCCTTATCTACGAACAATTCGCTAAACAATTTTAGGACCTGAACAAAATAATTCGAATTAGAAGATGATGAAGAAGAAAAAGAAGAAGAAGAAGAAGGTGGATCGTGAGATTATTCAATTTGAAATTTCTTAGTTACCTGATTATTCACTTTTTGTATTATTTCTATTACTACTACTCTCTCTCTCTTTCTTTATCTAAGGACTGATTTTTCAACAAACATGTACAAAAGTTATATACATATATTATTTCATGAATAATAATCGTTGAAACAATTTAAATGAAAAGTTCTGTATTAGTAAATTTCCAACCCTTGTTTATCGAATGGTAACTCTGTACATATTGAAATTAAAGTAAACAAAAAGTAAACAAGCATTTCTAATCTCTTAATAATATTTTTTTATTTTTTTGCAAATACACCTGTGCAACACTACAGTCTTTTCCTTACGTTAGAAGACAAATAGTGGTTCAAGCATATAATAGCATAGATTACAAAATATAAATGGCAATTCTATTCCTGGAGAATAACTAATACTTTAGAGATGAAATCGTCTGTAAAACTTGTAGAATGCCGATATCGGGGACAAGGATCTTCTTCCCGCCCCCCTCCTACTCCTCCTCAACCCTACTACCACCTACCCCGATGAATATAATTCCTCAAAAGGAAAGGCACTTCGAAATGTTAATGTTCATTTCACGCATTATCTTTTTTATTTTGTTTTTATACTTTTATCATTTTTTTTTTTTTAAGTAAAAATTTTTTTAAAATGGGGGAAGGGGTGATTTGAAAAAAGGGACAGGTAGCGATAAACAAAATAAATCAACTCGATGAAACGAAAAAAAATGGCTAAGTTAGTAAAAACAAGTATTTTTCTATCAAATTTTTTGTGGTGTTCTTCGTAATCCCAACTTCTGGCTACTAAGTGTTTTATATGTGTGTGTGCGACTGTATACTATGAAACGTATTAATTACAAAATTAAACTTTAATTTTTATCATTATTTAAAAAAATATTGCGCCTGTATGCATGCAACCCTCCAGACACACTTGAAAATATTGCTTGCAAGTGCCATCTATTGGGACGGAATTTTTTTCCTGCTCGAATGATAGGCAACCCGTAGTACACACGTGTATAAACAGTTTGGGCTGAAAAAAATTTCCGTCCCAACAGATGGCGCTCGTAAGCAACATTTTCATGTGTGTCTGGAGGGTTGCATGCATACAGGCGCACATTTTTTCTAATTATTAAATAAATAATTAGAATAAAAAGTTAAAATAATATTATAATAATATTATGTAATGAATTATATTTAATTATATATTTAAATATTGAATTTTTTAAACGATCGATAAAAATGAAAAACACACTAGTGACATCTTACGTTAGAATAGACAAATTAACTACCATAATCCTGTTTATTAAGTTTTAATACCAACTTTTGATCACCAGATAGCATTTTTTAATGTCTAGGAAAAAATTGTATAAAATATAAACAACATTGGCGTATCTTTATTTAAATAATTAAAAGGAAAAATAAAAAGAAAAAAGATTGTCACGTATAGAATTAGAATAAAACGTTCAAATTACATATATTTTAAATAAAAGTAATTTATTTACAAAAAAAAGAAAAAACCCTCATATAAAAAAAAACCCCCATGTACGTTCTTATGTTTTTATATCTTTAAGTAAATGACAATTGCAATTAAAAGTTTGTTAAAGTAAAAATTCTTAAACTAACAACACAGTCTTTTGAGATCAACGATTAATTGAACGATATGAACAACGATGAAGTCATCGATGAAAATGAAGTTCAAGTAAAAACTTCGTTAGATCATTCAAGTAATATATAATCGTATATATAATTATTATTAATTTATTAATATAACCTTTTTGTTTCTAAACAAAATCATTATGTATATATATATATATATATTATAAACAGAACTACCGATTAAAATAAACGAAGAAAATGATAAAAATGATGAAGAAAGTTCCGATGGTAGTTCACCATCAGCATTGAAAAAACGTTTACAGGATTTATCATCAACTTACGATAATCCATTAACACCTCTTCTTAGTCATCGAATTCCAATAATTAATCGATCGGACAAAGAAGATCATCAAAATTCAAATCTTCTTGATGAAAGTTCAACTAAATCTAATTCGTTGCAAGGTGCACGTGCACGTAGACGTGCCAAAATTCGTTCAGAAATTTTAAACGAAATCGATCAATCTTTGTCTATGACAAATTCTACAATAACGACAGATTTGTTTAATATTTTAACTCAATCAGAAAATTCAAATAAATTGAATGACGAAAGTTCGATGGAATCATCATTGACACAAATTTACGATGACAATGATTCGTCAAAGTTTCGTTTTAAAGCAAATACATTTACGGGTTCTATGACGTCACGAAGTTATTATTGCAAGCATGACGATGATGACGATGATAATAAAAAATCTGATTTAATTAAACGTCAATCTAAATCAGCTAACGACGATCGTATAAATAAATGTAACAAATTATTAACAAATAAAACGAAACTCAATCCCATTTCACATTTATCTACAAACAATGTGCGTCCAATTAAATGTGGAGGATACAGACCGAACACTGGTGTTATCTTCAAAAATTTAAGTTCAAGTAGTGAATCTGAAAGTATTAATGAACCAACAACATCCAATTGTTTATTTAAAAAAATCAATAGTCCAATGACAAATACGGAATTATCATCACCAGTTTCTAAAACTACGTTAGACGAAAGAATATCCAACGTTTTATCATCTAGAAGTGAAGATAATCAAGCGTTATCTTCATTCCGATCATTTCAAGAGTTATCTCGAAATAAACTAGTTAATAATAATAATAATAATAATAATGATTTGATAACTGTGCCATCAAAATCAGGTGTTTTGATTTCCTCACGTTCAGAAAACGTAAAACAGAAAAATGATTTATCTGATGAATCTAACATTAATTCTATCAATTTGTCTAAACATCTGAAAGGTAAAATGATCGAACACTTGTCATGTCCATCTTCAGCAAAAAATTGTATAGAAAGGGAAGAATTTCTCGTATCAAGGACGAATATTGCGAGATATTTTAGTGAAGATCATTCTTTGTATGAAAATAATCCAGAAAAAATGTCTTCGTTTCTTAATGTAGGATTAAACGATGATTTGGAAACATTTAATGCATCTGATAATGAAAGACAAGACAATAACATAACCAGTGTTCCAAGTTTACGATTATATTCTGAAGATGTTTCGTGTTCTACGTCAGCTGGTAGCAAAACTTACACGCAAAATCGTTCATTGGATAGCAGTGTATTATCAAATGCTTTATCAAATGTTTGTTCAACGTTAAATACCAAAGATAAAGAAAATAATTCAACGAGAACTCGATACAGATCTTACGATGACAGCGAAAATTTCGACACTTCGGAATCGTCTGATCAAAATTTGATTTTGATTAAAACACATGAAGAACCAATGGTAACCACTGAATCCAAAAATTATGATGAATTTGATATCATCGATGAATCACGTAGAGCATTTTCAGCACCTCATTCAAAATTACCTACGAAACGTTTGGTACGTTTGATTTGTTTTTTGTTTTTTTTTTTTGCAATGAAAAGAACAAATCACGATGTTTAATTTATAAAAAAAAAAACACAATTTATTTTTACAGGTAGACGATAGGAGGTGTAAATCGGTTGATCTATCGAATCATGAAATGATCTACGTTAAAGAAAATCATCAATATCCCGAATCATTGTATTCCAATTTAAGTAAAACAAATTTGTCGGAAAGTATTGGATCATTGAACTTTACCGAAGATTATCATCAAACGTTAAAAGAACCAATTGAAATGTCATATTTACAGGAAGATAAATATAATCCGTATAATTCGGAATATACGATGTATCCAAGACAAAGTCATCTTTCCATTTTGCAAGAAGAATCAGAAACGAAACTCGAAGAATATGATTTATCCGAATCATCAACGTTTGAAAATAAGGAATCACCTACTGTAAATATCGATCAAGAAAATTCTGTTAAATTGAATGAAACTAATTTGATACAAAATACGATTGAAAATTCAACGGATGTTACAAAACAATCCAATCGTACAAATTTCATTTCTGCATTACCTTTAAATAATAAACAGGATGATCAAATAAATGATTATTACGAAAAGGGTGATAACGAGTACAAAAAAATGGAAGAAAAATCATTGGACGATAAACTCGATAAGAATAATCAGTCAGAAATGAAAACAATGTCTGTTGAAGCGGATACAACGATGTTAATAATAAAAAATATTCACGAAACGTGTACATGCGTTTCACCAAAGGTTTCTTCTTCAACATCGAGATTACTTTGTACGTTTGAACATAATAATAATAATAATAAAAAATCACCGCGTATTAAAAATAAAACTAATAAAAAAAGTCAAGAACGTTTTCCATTTACCATATCAGAAACTGAGAGTACAATTGTAGAAACTAGACAAAACGTTGGACGTTGTAACAATGTTACCAACAAATCAAGATCATTGGAAACGTTTCGTGAATTAACATATCCAGGTATAATTGAATTTTTTAATTCATCTATCGAATGTTATGCTTACAATAACGAACGTCAACGTGATCAACGAAATATTTTACCAAAGATGAAAGGATTTGTACGTAGATTTTCAAATAAATTGAAATCATCTCGTAAACAAAACAATACTGATCATCGTAAGGAAATATCAACTAAGATAATTTATCAAAATCAAGAATGTCAAATAGATTCGATTCCGGAATCGTGTTCGGACGAATCAACCATCGAACAATCACAATTGATTGAACCAAAATCAGGTAATACAAGATCATCGATCATTTCTAGTGGTAAATCGTTGAAAAAGACAATGAGTTTAGAAAATTTGACACTTTGCAAAGAATATCCACGTAGACGATACGATCGTGATGATAAATGGGTCAAAGAATTTGAAGAATGTTCATCGCAACGTACAACAACCAGAACAACATCGTCCAATAAACATTTATCAATGTTTACTTCTAAAAGTGAAAATAGTTCATTGGTCGAAGATTTGTCCAAAGAATCGTTGATAATTGATGAAAATAATATTCAAAGTGATACTCGTCAAAATGAAGTAGATTCAATGACAAACGTATCAACCTCATTCGTATTACCAAATTCAAAAGAAACTAAAGTCAACGTTCAAAATGATCAACAAAATCCCGACACTGATGAACTTAGTATTAACATGGAAAATAATGGCTGTATTTGTTTAAAATTCTATCGAATGTTAACTTGTTCTTACATCTTAACAACGAAGAAACATCGAAGTTCGATCATCAAACCTAACACATTGATTGAAATGAAGAAAAAGATCAGGAAAAAGACATTTGGTTTATCATCGAAATGATTTCATTGTTTAAGGGATGATTGATTATTTTCTTCGTTTCATTTAACACATCCATAAGAATATTTTACCACTTGTTTGTTTCTTCTTGTTATTGTTGTTATTTTTTTGTTTTTTTTTTTTTTTTTCATGGGTCAGAATACTTCGTTTATAATTGAATTACGCTACACACATGAAAACTCGTACGTAATAATAATAATGGATGTGTATTATTAATAGCGATATATTTTCATTTCATTAATAGCCGATTTAATAATAGGTACTAATAATTAACCCTTTCGTTACAATTAACATGAATCGATGATACACAAAGGTTCATCATATGAACGATGATGATACAATTCATCCAAGTAACAAAAGGGTTAACACGTTTTATTCATTTTTTCATCGAGAAAGCCAAAAAAAAGGCACGCACCGATCGACACCGAGTAAATATTGTGTTTAAAACACACCCTATCCTCCCCCACCCCAAAACACACACACACAATTGTGTAAAAACTTAAAATATGTATTTAGTATGTCGTCGTTCGTCCTTGTTATTATTGTTTTTTTTTTTATTTTTTATTTATTTATTTATTTTTGTGTCTTTCGTTTATTTTATTTTGTCCGTATATTCGTACATAATGTCCATCATCACACTTTGATTTTGGTTTATTTTTTTTTCCAACCCATGATGCGACGTGAAGATTTTCTTTTTTTTTAATCGACAGAATACAATATTATTATTATTATTATTATTATCGAGTTTTTTTTTTTTATCGCTTTAATAATAAAACGTTTCCTTCGCTACGCTTCGTTTCTTTTACATTTTTTTTTTTAACTTATTATCGTTATTATCGTTATAGAAAAAATAAGTCTTTAAATAATCACATAAGAGTCGTCGAGCCTTTTTCTTTTTTTTCAATTCATTTTTTTTTTTTTTAATAAATCGTTGAATAGAAAGAAGGGTTTGAAAGGATAGGAGAAGAGGACGGTGGAAAAGGAAAAAAGGGATTTGAAAATTCGAAGGGAAAAACATTCGTACAAGGGTTGTAAATGCATCCGTACGCGCGTGTTTTTTTTTGTACACACAAATAACTGTGTAATGTGTATATGTATATTATATATATATATATATATGTGTTTGTGTGTGTCCTTTGTGTATCTATGGGTTGAAATAGAAAATTCATATTTCTCTCGTTTAATAATAAAAATGTGTCGATTAACGTGTGTCATATTGAAATTCGCGACAATTCGGTGTGTTTTAAATAGGCTGCTTTTAATTTGTTTATGCATTTTTGTTTTTTATTAATTTTTTTTTTCTTTTTTTTTCTTTTCTTATCATTTTTGTCTTTTCTTTCATTGAAAATTGATCTTCACGAAAAAACAGCTCTCTAACGTCTGTAAAAGAGATATTATTTATTAATATTATTAATATTATTATTATTAATATTATTATTATTATTATTATTATTAATATTATTATTATAATTATTATTATTATTATAATTATTAATATTATTATATTAATATTATCATCTAATAAATCGATCGCGAATAAATCGTGTATCTCTTGTTAAACAATAAACACTAGATTCTCGATAATCGTATTCGATCGATCGATCGATCAATCGATTGACGGTACGGATTATGACCGTAAATATATCTGGTGATCATAAAGTAAGAAAAAAATCGACTTCGCTAAAAATGGAGAATATGCAATCTCTATTTCTCTCTCTCTCTCTCACTCTCTCATTCGAGTTTGTTTTTTGTTTCCATTTATTTTCTTTTCTTCTTCTTCCTTCGACGTCCCTGAGAAAGGAAAGGGAGAGGCTTATTTTAAACGGTCGTTTTTTTTCTTGTTTTTTCTTTCGTTTTCTTTTTGCAAAAACAACACCGCACCAATTACAATTTAATAAACCTTGAATTAATCGCAAATTCACACTCGTCGGATTAAATTGATGATGATGATGATGATGATGATTTTAAACGATAGAAACGTAATCAATTGAAACAAATTGTTTTACACCATTATAGGATAATACATATATATATTACACAGGTACGGATTTATTTCTTTTTTCTTTTCATGCTTCCGAAACACACCACGCCATTTTTCTTCTAACCAACGATTAATATTCTTAATTTTATTTTTATTTTGTTTCAATGAAATCTCTTCATTTCGTGTTTCGTTTTCTTCCGTAGATTCGTTCTCGCTTTATATTATTTTATTTAAAATGAGGGTGTGGTGGAGGGGAGGAAGAAGAAGGGGTTGCGAGCGTCATCATCCACCGCAGGCGCAGGGCTGTATCGATCCTCCACCTCCTCCTCCTCCTCCTCCTGGCGATGCTTTTTTAGTCTACGCAAGTACGGTTTTAGTTTTTTTTTTTTTAATTTTATTTTAGCAGTGACTACTACTACCTATGTGATGGATTATTATTACGCGAGAATAACATTTATTTTTCCTTTCGAAAACGACGAAACATTCTCTCTCTCTCTCTNCTCTTTTTGTCCTTTTTTTTTTTTTTTAACAAGTTCGGCAAAAGTTCGACTTACGCGCGGATAGTTTTTTTGAGATATTAGAGGAAACCTGGGGGTTGGGTTGGGGTGATTGGTTGGTTGGTTGGTATGATAGAAATACGGTAAAATCTGGCACGATTGATTAACTTTTTAGAAATATTTAGCTGCTATCTTTTGTATATTTTGGCTTTTTTGTTTTTTTGTTTCTTTTAATAAAATGAATAATAATAATAATAATCTCGTGTATCGTTAATAAAGCGATGCGTACGATTCCACGCCGTGCTAATTCATTTTCTCGTACGGGTGTGGCCGTTCGCATATATAAGTCAGTCACAAAAAGGACAACCTACATCACGACGACGACGACGACAATGACGATGACAATATTATATAATTCCTAATTTAAAATCATCTAAACTCGTTGTACGCGTTTCATCGACTCTCCCCTTTCATTCTTTCTTTCTTTCTTTCTTCTTCTTTCCATTTGACTTCGTTTTATTTGAATCACCTTTTATGTTTCTTTTCATATTATTCATTAATTAATGACGAAATTATGACGACCGACGAGTATACTATTTGCGAAGTTATTTTTTCTTTTATTTTATTATTTGTTTTTCGTCATTTTTTTTTTTTTTCAGAGATGACGATGACGATGACAATGATAAACCAAGACGAACGAGAACGAGACCGAGAGATGGCGTTTATTTGCTTTTCTTTTTTCTTTTCGTTTGTTTATTTGTTTTTAAAGCTCGAATAAATTCGTTAAGAAGAATCAGGGGGTGTGTATAGAAATGGTGTTTAGTGGTAGTGGTGATAATGGGTGGAGGTAGGGGGTTGAATAAGGACGTCGTTTGTTTCCTTATTTTTTTTTCTTTTTTTTTTTTCCTTTTTTTTTTTTTTACGGTTGACAACAACACTCCCCGCTTTTTCGTGCTACTACTCTTCTTGGTTATATTCTTTTTTTACTTTTCTTTCCTTTCTTCGTGGGTACGTTTACAAAATCAATTTTGTATTCGTTTTGTAGGCGGCGGTGTTCATCGATCACGGGACACCACCTCCTCTTCCTCTTCCTCCTCGTCATCGAGCAAGCTTGTCTTTCGTTGCTGCTGCTCCTTTTGTGTTGTTTTTAACGTTTCTTCGTCATGACACGTATCTTCCGTACGAGATTTGTCAGTTAAATTATGTCACAACGGTGGAGGAATGGAAAATTCCTTTCTTACATAAAACAGAATATAAGGCTTGCACTTAGCAACTGCGTCGGTGCTAGCTGGACGTACCGAACTGTCGTTGAAGTGGAACCATTGACCGTCGTGTACGGCAAATGCGGTGTAATGTCCAGTACCAGCACTGCAAAACATCAAATAACATCACATTTTACTTTCTGATTATCATCTTTCATTGATTGATTTGATCATGTTTCATTTTAATTGAACTTTGTCGTTAATGGTATTAAGATAATCACACGTTTTTATCTTATATTATTGAAGATGATGCAATCTTTTTAAATATTAGAAAAATATGTTTGTTTTATTTTTCTTAAAATGACGAATCTTACCCAGAACCATGATGAACAATGACAGCGGCCAAATCGTAAAGATGACTATTTTGGGTCCCCAATTTCATTCCGGTCATACCTCGTACCGTAAATGCCGACATATCCAGAGATTCCATAGGAAAGTCAACCTGCGTGTCCACCTTCGAACGATAGGAATTACACCACCTAAATCTTTTAATGTGAAGGCACAACACCTACAAACAATACAAATAAATTAGATCCGATTTATCATTATCTTTGGGAAAGAGATAGATTGTTATGAACAAAGAAAATGAATTAGACAAAATAATGATACTTTATTTTTGTTATTTCCCAAATACTAACGTTAGGCAGCCTATGAATCCAGAACCTCTTGGTGGACCGTTGTTTCCCCATACAATTATCGCAAAAGTATAGTTCGCTGTCAGCCAATTCCTCGACTTTGAAGAATCTCGTTAGACTATAGGTGAGACTACAGACCTCTTCCTGTTCCTTCGTACGTCTTTGCAGTCTATCCGGTATATCCAAGGAAAGATCCTGGAAGGGTTCGTGGGTCTTCGAGTCCGTACGGCAGTTCATGCAGTGAACCTGCGCGAGGAAACGCGATCCATAATTCGTCCGCGCTTCTCCCCGAACAAGAGAAAACGAAGAGGATGACTTTTGTCGAAGAGTCTCGCTGAGAGCGTTGCGAGAGGAATTTTATAGGGCTTTTTGTTCTTTTTTTTTTGGGGGGGGATTTTCTTTTTATATCGCGAACACGCGTTCAAAGATAGATTTTCAGACAATGATGAATTATAAAAGAGTAAGAGAAAAGAAATGGATAAAGATATCTAAGTAGCAAGCTCGCAACGAGCTCGACTTACCACGCTGAGTAGAGTGCCACCAAAAACGGCGGTGACGATGCTCTGCTTTCCACGCAAACCAAGTGGTTCATGTCCAAGCCTAGGTAATAATTGTAACAACTCCGTGTGCAATCTATCTAACATGTAGGTGAGAAATTCGTGAGCGTCCTGTTGTTGATAACCCCTGAATCTCGGTACAACCTTCCATATTACGAGGAAGAGACATTCCGGGGAAATGGCTTGACCGTTGGAACCACCAAGACTCAAACCGAGAAGTACCTTTCTTAGTTCCTCGGCTAATAGGGCATCGCTCATAAGTTCTTTTGCTCTTCCTGGTGTTACGATGCGACCTCTGTGAGTCGGTGGTTCCGATGGGTCAAAAGCTATACCCTCGAGGCACGGCATTTGTGTTAGGTATTCGCAAAAGTGGCTTATGTTGTTAAACGATTGTAGTACAACGTTCATGAAACAAGTATTCCCAAGATTCCTCAGGCCGACGACCTTTTTCTCTTTGGTTATCTTCGAGCTTCTACGTTTGGTAGCTGGCCTATTGTCCCCGCTAGTACCGTCCAACGAATGCAACCTTTTCCTCGCCGTTCTTGGTCGTAAATTTCTCACGACAACCTCGGCCTTCCATAAAGCGTCAGCATCGTTGTCCTCGCTACTCTCCCGCCTAGATGACGGTGTAGTCGTGCTAGTTGTACTCCAACTTTCGTCGTTCTCCTTATGCTCGTCTTTACCACATATTATTTGTCTTATCTTTTCTATTTGACCACCTGTCGTATCGTTTATCACGTATTCGTCGCACGTGTAACTGCGAACACACAAAATATATCATTTCAATATGTTATCAACATCTTTTTGTTCATTGGTTCGATCATTTTTTATTTCAATTTGATACAATTACGAACAATTCAATATTTATATATTTTCTTTGAAAAATTCCGAGTATTTTCATAACTCACCAAAAGACAGAGAGGTTCTCACAATCGATGCACACACAATGTTGAGTATTATTCTTCTCGTGATGCTGCAACGCGTGTCCTGACTCGTACCTTCCACAATGAACTGCTCCGCAATGCAAACATAACCAGGTACTTTTCTCTGTACCGCATACTGTGATGTTGTAGGTGGATCGTTCCAAAAAAAAAATAAAAAACAGAAACAAGAAAAACTATAGTTAGACATGATAAACATGGAATAAAATCAACACACATTACATAAATTTATTTAATCCAACATCTTGGTATTAATAGAAACCACTTTTTAACCGCTAAACCATAAGTGTTGTATCCTGTTGATAAAATTTATATTTTTATTTTATTTTTAGAATCGTTGACAATGTCTCAACCCAACCATCCAGTCGCAGAAATGCAATATATCTGGTGATTGATAAAAAAAAAAAAAAAAAAAACATCGTGTTTGGTTCCCTCCCTCTTCGTGTTGCGTAATTGCGAAATAAAATATGGAAATGAAGGGTGGGAGTGAGATAGGGGTTGCAGAGAAAAAGAGAGTTGAAATAAGAAAGAGAAGAAGAGGAGTAGTAGAAGGGGTGGTTTGACACACCCCCTTCGCAACAGGACTGGCCGATCGATCGCGAAATGCCTTGGAAATTTGTCTCGTTTTTATTATAATTCCATTTTTTTTTTCTCATTACATTAAAAAGAAAAAGATTCTCACACCCTTTTCGATGAAACTTTTGATATCTAATCAAAGACGGTGAGAGTAAGAAAAAAAAAAAAAGGAATGGAAAATATCCAAAGTCTTAATTAAAGGAGAAACTTGAGACGGTGTTAGCACGAAATCGTTGCTGTGAAAAAAAAAAAGAAGAAAATAAAACCGGGTGGTGTAGCACGGTAGGATGATAGGAATAGGGTGGAGGAGAGGGTTTCAAGAACAGCACCGAACGAAAGGGGAAGCGAGAACCGAGACGAGATGTTCACTCGCGCGAGAATTTCTACGATGAGGTAATCTGATATGTTCCAAGTCAAGGTCGTTCCCAGGTGGACACTCTCTCGTCTCTCTTGGTCTACCACCCACCTCACATATAGAAGGAATACACAGATATRTATATATGCACATGTGTGCATCACATCTCCCATAACAAACTGCATTGTACTACGAATCTTTACTGAAATATTTCTACTCGTTGTTAATAATAATTATTTGTTTGTAATGCAATAATTTGTTATATTATTTAAAAAAAAAATGAACGTTTTTAAATTAATTATTTTACTTTGTATATAAAGTAATTGTATTGACTTAAAGAAAATTGCACTATTTGAGACAATACAATACTTTTTTTGGTTACATTCTAATATTATGAACAGTATTAACAATATTATAATAATATAAATCTTATCTTAATATATATAAATTGCGTGTCACGTTGTTTGTCTGCAATGGACTCCTAAACTACTGAACCGATTTTAATCAAATTTTGCACACTGTGTGTAGTTTCATCCAACTTGAAAGATAGGATAGTTTATATCTCAATTTATAATCGCAATATTATTTGTTTATTAACAAAGAGTCATGATTATCTCTGTTAGTTCGATAAGATTCTAACAGATGGCGATATAAGGTAATTCGTTGCTGATTGTGAGCCACAGCAACGCGTGGCGGGGCACCCCTAGTTGTAAATATAATTAAACTTAAAAAAAAAAAAGGATAGTAATTTGATCGTGTGCGAATGCAAAATTTGATGTCTCGAAAGAAACTTTGAAGTAAATGTTATATGCTAATTTTTCATAATTTTTTTTTTTTAAATATCATACATTTATATCTATATTTCCTTACATATGATAAAATATGATATATTATATTTTTTCTGCGAATGATATAAAATATGTAGAAAGGAAAAAAGTTTCAACGTTGCATATTAAAAAGTCATACACACACAATCATCGTAACCTTGTAGAAAAAAAATAAATAAATGTATATAATAAAGAAAGAGAAATTTTCTACATTGGAAATTAAATTGACATCATTGGTCACGCATACGTAAATATAAATAATGATTTATTCTTTATTTTTGTTTATTATATATATAAGAGGTAAAAGAAAAAAAGAAGAAGAATCAAAGTCCAAACTTTCCAATATAATTAACAACGGTATCTAAAATGACGAAGAGAGAAACTGAGAGAAAGAGAGAGAACGGGTTATGTGAAGACGAGTCTCTGTTGACCAAAGAATTTGACACTGGCATGAAACGAACGTCAAACTCGAGGCATACTTTTCGAACTATTATTGCATGCATGCATACATACAACACACACACATACACAACGATCTATATTCGAATGCTTGCGTCGTAACCGGTGGTCGTGGTGCGTGCAACGAGTGTATATAGGATCGAAAAAATCAAATAAAAAAATCAAATCTAAAAAGGAAAATATAAGCAACATGATATATATACATATTCTCATATCGCATTCCGGTTCGATAAGACAAGAAGAAAATCGATTGTTTCTACGTTTGTTGTACTTTACTTTAACCACTTTTTACGATAACTACGAATGCATTTTCAATTGCAGCATAAATTACCTTATACCGCTGTCTGTTAGAATCTTATCGAACTAACAGAGATAATCATGACTCTTTGTTAATAAACAAATAATATTGCGATTATAAATTGAGATATCAACTATCCTATCTTTCAAGTTGGATAAAATTGCACACAGTGTGCAAAATTTGATTTAAATCGGTTTAGTAGTTTAGGATTCCATTGCGGACAAACAACGTGACACGTAATTTATATATATTAAGATAATAAATTTAAAATTTCGTGCTCTTTCATAACTTTTCAGGTTTTTTTTTTAGCAAAAAAGCATTAAATAAACCATCTATCGAAAATTGGCACGAATTTTTCGGACAACCCAATACATTCAAAAATTCACATACAAAAATACATAGATTTCTTTATACGTAACCATGATAAAAAGTATCATTTGTCTCACATAATACAAGAAAACAATTCTTGACGCATCAAATTCGCAGACTGTTATTCGAAACGTATTAATAAATGCAACATCGAATTGAAAATTCGTTGCATTCGGAGTCATCGTATCGTGCTTACGTCAGATAGTTTCTTTTTATTCAACAACAACGTTCCAAAATCAATTTCCTTCGTTGTGTTAGATGCCTATATCGATGGAATTACAAAAGCATTGTATTGATGGTGGTGGTAGTGGTGGTGTATCGAACGACAGCCATGTATAGAACAGAAACGTTCATTCAATATCGTGCTACTCAATGAAATTACCACATGTAATACTCGGGCGTGTCGAATGTGTTTAACCTATTCGAATATCGAATAGTTCCAAATCAAAAAACCTATATAAGTGTATGATGACCTATGTATCTATTAACACGTTGAATACCACATGAATTCTTAGGGAAATTCCCGTCAGGCCACAGACGTTACCTTGTATTATAAAAATAGTTAAACGTGTCAGTCACATGTGACAGACGCGGCCTAAACGAAGAGTCTAGTGTCAACCACCGATGACTGACGTGGCGCTCAACGTAAATAAGATTCGAATGAAACGATTGGGTATTGGTTAGCAGCTTAAGAGGAACGAATCTCTCTCGTGGAAGGTTTCTTTAACGAAATTCGATATGTTTGAGAATTCAAGGATTGGCGTGGGCGTGAAAGAAGTAAACTCGTCGACGACTCGATTTCGTCGTCGTGTTGTGTAAGTACCGTTTTGGTAAAAGGACAAATCTAAGAGAATTAGAATAGAAATAGAATGATAAGAAAAAGACATAGATAAAAAAAGAAAGATAGAAAGAGAATCCTAGTTTTGTCTTTTAACTCTGTGAGAGAGGTGTTCGCCACGCCTTCCTTGGATGCGTTCTCGTGGAAAACTCTTTGGCGAGCGATCGTCTCTTGCGATCGATAAATCGACGCTGTGCGGTAGCGGAAAAGAGGAGGAAGAGAAGAAGAAGAAGGAAGAGGAGGAGGAGAAAGAGGAGGATGGTGTTGCAACGGGACACGAAAGAGGAAGAAGAAGAAGGTAAAACTTGTTCTTGCGAGTACGACGGACTGCACTCTCGCATCCTATTAAATGCTGCTAGCAGAGGCAGGCAGCAGCAAAATCAGAAGCAGTAGCAGCAGCAGCAGCAACAGCAGCAGCAGCAGCAGCAGCAGCAGCAGAGCGTGCCGTTATCGATTTTGCAACGTCGTCGTACTCGAAGCAGTCTGCGGAGAGAGCTACAACAGGAAAAGAGCTGGTGGTGGGGTAGTTGGTGGTGGTAGTAATAGTAGTAGTTGGTTGGTAGTAGTCCATAGCAGTAGTAGTAGTACTTCCAGTGATAATGATAATGATGATGATGATGATGCTGATGCTGATGGCAGCAAGATTGAGACCTTTTATCGTGTCTATGAAGGGACCATCTTTTTTCTCACGACGACGACGACAACGACAACGACAACGACGACGACGTTGATGATGAAGATGATGATGATGATGATTATGGTGAGGATGAAATGTCAAAAAGACTTGAAGAATCATCGAAGAGGCATTATCATCGATCCTGTCTCACATGCGTTACGATTCGTCGAGCGTGCAACGACGATCGTTCTCAGTCAGTCGACTCCGAATGCATCAGAGAGAAACAGGGGGAGATAAAGAGAGAAAGAGAGAGATAGATAGATAGATGGAGAGAGGGAGTTGCAACGAACACCGTTCCATGCGATCCCCCACGTGTTTCTGAATCGTCCTACTCGTCGAGATTCGATCGTGTGTTGACCGACTAGACGGTCGTTGGAAAAACAAGCTTTCGTACTCGTCTACACACACATGTATATATGTGTGGGTGTATACATATATGTGTACGTGTAAGGAGAAGGGAGTTTGACTCATCGTTCGTCCCATTCTCTCTCTCTTTCTCTTTCTATCCTTCTTGCTATACCTACATGACGCTTCGTTTCTTTTCCTCCCTATCCCCCACCACTTCTCTCTCCCTTTCTCCTACCCTTTTACCCTTTCCTTCGTAACCTCGGAGGAAGAAACACCTTCCATCGTTTTCTACGCCGTAAGATTATTGCGTTTGATGAAATAAAATAAATAAATTATTCATTTCGAACGATCATCGTTGTTATTCTCGAAATGAAATCATTTTTTCGATTTTTTTGGTTAGGTCATACATTTTGAGAAAATCATATTATTATTATTATTAGGTTATTGTTTTTAAGTTTTTTTTTGGTTCTATTCTCGTAATGTTTATGTTATATGTTTTTTAGTTTCTTTTTTTTCGTGATAAATTTGAAACTTATGTTCGATCATTCGTACCAAAGAGGAAATCTCGCGAAATCGCTGGGAGAGCTTCTCCCAGTCCGCTTCAATGCACCACACCACCATTACTACTACTACTACTACTATACCATAACCATTATACCATAACCATTATACCATCACCACCACCATCGCGGTGATTCTTTCAAGAATCCCTCCCCACGTACCCCTGGGCAACCATAAAAGGTTCTCCCGCTAGAAGAAAGAAGTAACGTTGCGGCTTTGAGAGTTGTTCGTTCAAAGTAAGACAACGACAACGACGACGACGACGACGATAAGGAAGAGGAGGACACACAACTTTACCTGCCCTACCTTACCCCTATAACGAAAAACTCGAGAATCGAGCTTTGACCTGGTAAATCTAGATCTCCTTAAGAAGGATTGCCAACGAAGAATCTAACAGGATTGATTATAATCAAGGTAAGGACTGAGTTAACAAGAGATAAAGGACTAAATTCTAAGAGAAAATGAAACGAGAGAGAGAGAGAGAGAGAGGGATGGTTGTACTTCAAAAAATGGAGTTTAAAAAGATTCCTTATAAAAAGAAATAAAAGAAAGAAACATACTGGAGGAGAGAAGAACTGTGCTGCGCACGTTTTTCACGAAGTAAATATAGTTTCGAGGTCGTGCCAAAGAGAAAGGAAAGGGTGGAGTATACGAAATGAGGACCTTCCCTCCAGCAAAAAAAAAAAGGGGTGGATGGTGGATGTACATAGAATTGTAGCAAAATTGAAAAATACAATGAGGCATATCGTTTTTAGGTAACATTGTCTACCTGTGATATTTAAATGTCGCAAACGATACGAGGAAATAATCTTTGATAAAAACAAATCAATCAAAGTAGAATAATCCTGAAATGCAATAAGATTAAAAAAAAAAAAAAAAACACGAAAGGTAGGACATATAATCATAGAAGAAAAAAAAAAAGTCAATTAATCAGTTGCGTCTTACGAGCAAAACAAGATGACCACCCCCAAAGTAAAAAGATGGACATAGATATAATTGATAGAAAAAAAAATTAGCATATTCCCCATCCCCATTCGTTTAAATGAATTCCAACAAGATTAGTTGACGTCTTATTATTTGTACCTGGGCCCGATGGTGGTGGTGTTGTGTTCAGCGTGTCTCGTGCGTATACGAACAACGTTAGAGAAGAAGTGAGATGGATAGAGGAAGGGGAGATGCATCATTGCTGGTGCTCGGGGAGTAGAAGAAAAACCTGGTCGTCGTCGTTAAAAAGAGAAAGAAATATATATATATATATAGAGAGAAAGAGAGAGAGAAAGAAGAAGTAAAGGGAGAGGATACATCGGTCGTGTGCTACCGAAACGACGCGATCTCGAGCCAGCTGATTAGTGCCGTCTGGTATTGATTTTCCAATGACGGCCGCGGCGCATACCGAGAACTCTTAGCTAGGAGTACGCATACGCGCGCGCTGGGACCTATCTATCTTTCTTTTTTTTGCTTTCTTTCTTTTTTTCTTTCTCTCTTTTACCTTCCCTATCTATCTCTCTCTCTCTCTCTTTCTCTTTCACCCGTACGAGAGAGAAGAACAAGCATTCACACATCTATAACTATTGTACAAACGTGTTCTCTCTTTACGCACATACACATCCATATATATTATACCTGTACAGACGACACACCTGTGTGTGTGTGTGTGTTTGTCGAATGACGTGTAAGAAAAGAAAAAGGTGTTACACTGACAAATAATAACACGAGAGACCCTATCACCGTCGGTGGTTAGGTGAACGGACCGAACAATCTGATCTCTCCCACGTTCGGTTCTTTTACAAAGAGAAAGAGATACGTAAAGAAGGGAAGAGGGAGAGGTAGCAAGGGTGTGAGGGAGGGGGAGGGGGGGTGGGAAATTAATCTTTAAAGAGCGTGTTTCTCGCTAAAGGGAAATGGTAGCTGATGATCGCGCTTCGTCTCGTTGCCATCACGACGACAACTCAAGGCCGCGAGAGGAACGGCCTGGGCCTGGGTCATGGTGCAAAAGAAGGAAACGGATATAAAGTTAACCGGAAATATGTAGAAAAAAAAGAGAGAGAAAGAGAGAGAGAGAGAGAGAAAGAGACCTATAGTCTCTAAATGATAAGAAGAGATAAAGAAGATGAAAAAAAGGGCCTGAGGTTGAAGAGGCAGGGTTGGAATGGAATATATATTTGGTATATAAATGAAAGAATTTCTTACCTGCGCAAACGAACGGCAAATCCTTCGTGCAGGTCGTTTCAACGTCGTTAGTATCGAGTCGGACGCTTTGAGCGAGGTGCGGGCACTCCATCTTTCGTTGGCTCCACGATTTCAAACGGGGCCCCCTCGTGGACCCCCGTTCGTTCCTCTTCCCCTCAGTGCTGCTTGCTTGCTTGCTTGCTGCGTGCGTGCGTGCGTACGTAAGTGCGTGCTCGTGGCGTGTACCGAGCTTTCCTTACGATAATAAATGCTTACGAGACGAGATGAAACTACTCTGCACTAGTAGTAGTAGTAGTAGTAGTGTAGTAGTAGTAATATTCTTTCTATCTTCTTTCCTCTCGCTCGTTTATACACGAAGCCGACTCACGCTCGACCTATCTCTCTCTCTCTCTCTCTCGTCTCGCACGCGCACGTCTTAGCCACTACCACACTAAAGCAGCATGTACCAACCACACGCACTCTAAGGAATGAACGAATGCGACGAGCGAACTAACTAACTAACGAAAGAACGCACGCACGCACGCACGCACACGCACATAACATAACATACACATATACACGATCTCCTCTCTCCTTCTGTCACTCTCTTTTTCGCACGACCGACTGCCTCCGTGGAGAGATGGGTATAACGAGATGGGGCAGGGGGAGAGGGGCAAATGAGCAAGAGAGAGAAAAAGAGGATAGGAAGGGAGTAATAATATATAGCGGGCGGGGTACACACCAAGTGCCCCGTGATATCCGTCACATAGCGAGGTGGGGATTTTTGCCGGGTGTGCGATCGGAAAAAGAAAGGGGAGTCGGGTGTACGAGTGCGCAGATCGAGAGGATCGACTGACAGACGACAACGATGACGACAACGATGACGACGACTACGGTGGAGCGAAAAAGAGAGAAGAAAAGTCCTCTTCACGAAGGAGGTCGAGAAAGAGAGAGACTATGAGACTACGGTATAAAACTTCAGGCGGAACGAATAATAAACGAACAAAAAATAAGCACGCTGACGATAATTCCTCGACGGACAACTGGGCCCGACTGCCAACCGAGCGCGACCGAGCTGCGTGGAGCTCGGTTCACCGGTGGTCGGCCCACCTCCAGACTCACAGACCACCAATAGCCGACTGACTCGGCCCGACTCGGCGCCGTTCGATTATGCTCGCTTTAAGATTCATTTTCTCTTTCTCTCTTACACGGTTAGACTTAAACTCTCTTCTACCCTTTCCTTCCTTCCTTTCTCTCATTCTTTTTCTCTTACATCCCACGCTCTTGAGCGTCGCCGCCATCTTTTTTAATGCTGAACTTATACCTTTGATAAAAAAGAAAAGATAAGAGAATAGATGATGTTAGGCTCATTCTCTTCTACTACTAATATTACTAGTCTCTCTACTTACTACCAGTATAGGTCTCTTCATTCGCAAATTCTTCTCGTGCGCAGCCTCCAAATAAATATCGGGCAGGCCTGGCTCGAGAGCGTAGGCGAGGAGGGTGCATGCTGAAGGGCCATGCCATAATGCGACGCCTGATTATCGAACGAATGCGTCTCGGCCTTCGCGAACTTTCCTTTACCATTCTTTTGCTCTCTCTCTCTCTCTTTCTATACCGCTTTCATATTTATTTTTTTGTTTCATGGCAAACGTTCCTAGTCTTTTACATCGATTCATAAACGTTTCATAGAACAATACTTTGTGCACATGCTTACAAGGAACATTTGATTCGAGAAACGTTCATACAAAATTGCTTTACACTGTTCTTTGACCATGTTAACTTATCTCCTATAAATATAGCGAATTTGATAAACCAGTTGTTAAAGATACCATCATGTTTTTGTAGAATGATGAAATAGTTTTGAATTACTAAAAAAAAAATCGATAGGCATTCCTTTCATACATGGTCTATTTACGATTGGTACGGAAAAATCACACGAGTCTTATTCACATGTAAAAAAATAACGTCAGTCGATTCTATGCGAGGTCATATAAAGAAAAAAATATTGATAGAATGCTATCCAAAGAAGGTCAGATACCTTGCTTACTTCCTAGATGATAATAAAACTTATAAATGTGGTAGTATAGATTTCCGTATGTAATAATGCGTCATTCGTAGTACGGTACTGTAGCTATTGAGTTATTCAACAATGCGCATGTGTAAAACACTTCACGAGTTATTGCATATATGATGTACATAGTTCATAATTAATTTACTGAAATATTATTAGATTGTTCTATCCAAATGAATTCGATTTGTAAATTGTTAGATTTGTATAATAATTTAGACTAACTTCTAATCCTGAACACAATTCACAGAGTATAAAAGAAACGAGTTAGTACAATCATACAACGAATAAAAACAAAAAAAAAGGCAACGTCCTTAGATTGTCAGCATGCAATTTTATTTAAAAATGCAAGACCAACAATTTTATTTTAAGTAAAAAGAAATATTTTAAGAACGTCTACTAAATTGTGTAACGGGTTGAGTTAATTGTAATCCAGTAATGTTGTTGAATTCTAACATCTTCAACATTTCCTTGGTTTCTGGATCAACTTCGATGATATCGTGTTCCAAAGCAGAAACTTCTGGAACATAGTTGTCTCTGCGTTCCCTTTCTTCTTCCTGAAGTTTAATAGAAATACCACGGACCTGGCTGTGTTTCAATCGCTTCATCAAGTGAGTGACGAATCTATAAAGTAAATATTTTGTATTCAACTATCGTTTTTCTTAATAAGATCTTTTTTTGCACAAAGTTTTTAATAAAAAGTAAACAAATTATTTAAAATCATACCCAGCAATTTTATTTCGTAGAGATTTGCTAGGAATAATAGCAATTTCTTCGCATATCCTCTTATTCGTGTGAAAATCCAAGGTTAGGCGATGATGATATTTTTCAATGATCATCTTCGCCGCCTTTTTGACGGTCTTCGTACGAACACGACTCTGTAATCACACATTGAATACACATTACAATTATCTTGTTAATTAATAATACGTAGAATTGCAATTATTTATAATTATTGTATGGAACAACACTGCAGTACATAACCTCCACCTTTTTAAAACACACGCGCTTCGAATCACATTATCTTTAACCTCAAGTTCATGTGTTTTCACCGAAATTAAATTATAATAACTGGATATCACAATATTTTTTCACGATATTTTTATAGATGCAATTTATTTTTTTGGATTAATATTAGAGTGTACAAAAATAAATACCTACCATGTTGTGTACTATCCGGAAAAGGTACGAGCGTAAAGAACGATACAAATGAAAATGGCCGACTGTAGTATTTCGGGCGCCGTGGCAGATTTAGAAACTACATTCATTCTGCTTTAGAAAGCTATACTAGCGACGTCTATTAAGTACGAGTATATTCAAATATCCGTCGGTAATAATCTACTTTATCTACAAAAATTAATTGAATATATTTCAAAAGCTATATTAATTTCATTATTTAGAAATATAATATTATACAGAAACTATATTGTTGAATCTATCGAAAGATAAATTTAATTTCAATTGCAATCGTTTCATTCTTACCGATCGAGTAGATAGAACCAATGAATATAGAATTATATGGAAGATCAAAAGTCCACTTTTCGTGTACAAATTCATCTTAGTTAGCACTGGGACCACCAGTGGGCGATAGTAGGTACATAATGCGATGAAAGTACAATATTATCAAAAAATACAGTATTCTATTTACTATTGTCCACTGGTGGTTCCGGTGCTAACTAAGATAATAGTTGCTCTGTTGAATAAATAAATTTACGAATGTATTAATAGTTTTTTAATTGTGTATTTTCTTTGCTATTTAAATGTAAATCACGTTTTTTTTTGGAAATAAGATAATAAAAAATATTAAAAATTTTCAGTTACAACCACATCAAGATCTTTATTAACGAAAGAGCAAAATTAAAGAAGATAATTCAAGAAAAGCCCGCGAGAGATCGCAAGAATCGTCCGTGAGATGGTGCTATCGACGACGAATCAGCGGCGAGAACGCAGAGCGTCATCGGCTCAAAACATGATGCACAGTAGTTAGTGTATTCGAGAAAGAGGTTAGGGTGAATAATACGATACAGTTAATCCCATCACGAGTGACAATTCTTTTGGGACGTATCACGAAAGGGTTTGTTGACCACGGATTGAGGGACGTTATCGAAGTAGGTAAAAAAATTGCGAAAGATCTACATTTATCAATGATAAGCATGAATGTTGTGTTTGAACAGTGGTGAACGCGTCATTCAGTAGCAGAGAAGCGGTACTATTGATAAGAGTGGAAGAGAGATAGCGATAGAGATAGAAAAAGCGTGGTGGGGACGGTAGCGCCGCGCGCGCACGATTTTGCAAGTACGAGGAAGAGTTGCGAAGGAGTAGGAGGAGTGGGAGGTGTATGGTGTCGTGGGGGGGTAGTTGCAATGTGGAAGGTGGTGGGGAGAAAAAGGAGGAGAAGAGCCGGTGGCGACGGGAGCGTGCGAGAGAGTGGAGTGGGGCTCGAGGGAGGGGCGGAGAGGAGGCGAGTTTGTTTATCGCCTTGGTGAACGGTGCGAGAAGTAGTCGTCAGTCAGTGCGGTGCTACACTTGGCCTGCGGTGGTCGGAGTGTTCGGTAGAGTCCTGCTTTTCCGTCTTCGCGTCTCTTTCGCTCTCGCGTGTCCTCGTTCTAACTTTTTTTTTTATGTTTCCTTTTGACACTCTTGGTTTCTCTACTTCGGGTGAGTGCGTATGGCTAATGCTCTCGTGCTTCGTTTTATCGAATAAGGAAGGAAGAAAATTCGTGTGAAAAATTTCAGTGAGATATTATCAACGATAAACAAACGCAAGAAAAAAAGAAAGAGAGAGAGAGAAAATAAAATATACGCGTGTACACATAACATATATACACACAACACACGCATATACATGTGTTGTTGTTGCTGTCATCGTCGACATCCGTGTAAAAAAAATCGTGTTCGGATTTGAAGAAGAGACGAGAGAACAAGGTCATAATACGCAAAACATGCCACGAAGAAACAACGCTGAGGGATAGGATCTCTCAAATCTTGCACGCATACAAATTTATCACATATATAAATATATACACACTTACACATATACGTACGTTGGTTTTTTTTTCTTCTTCTTCTTCTTCTTCTTCTTCTCTTGAATTTTTACCTTCTATTTCTCTCTCTTTCTCTCCACGTATATTTTGTTCTGAAGTACCTCTCGACCGATGTGAAATTCGCCGTGGGATACGTCCACTACAATCTCGCACGAACTATATCAAAGAGGTAAGTTCGTTCATGTCACGATTTAACCTCCTTTTCTTTCCTTCACTTCTCCACTTTCGTGCCTTCCACGTTTTTTCTTCTTTTCTTCTTCTTTTTCTTTCCACCTCTCTGTTCCTTTCCAATATACTTCCGTTTATTCATCTTCTTTTCGTATAATTTTAGTTTCTATTTTAACTGTGCATATTATATGTGTAAAGCAAAACCAATACGTTTTATTACAATCACGTTTTTTATTCTCTCACCAATTCTAAGTACTATAATTCGATACGATGACTTTCTCTTTTATATATATATACGATTGGAATCGTATTAAATACGTTCACAATACTTGTATATTACTTATACATGCACATTTATACTTAGGTAACTTAATGGATTATCATCGATGTGAGATAAAAGTTACTTTCCCCTCAAATAACTTTAAAGAAACTATTTTTCTTTTTATTTATTTATTTATTTATTTATTTATTTGTGTTTAACCTTTTTTTAATATTAATTTTCTACACTTACACTTGTTGTTCACATAAATTGTTTTAATTGATGATAATTAATTAGATTTTAAGTCAATTACTTAAGTCGTTTAAAAAGTAGATATACCACCATTTTCTACCACACTAGTCAAAATGATTGATGTATAAAAAAAAAAAAAATGCTTTTTAAAGGCTTCTAGTTTTTATTTACTCTTAAAAAATTATAAAAAAATGTTTAAAAATAATTTTAATAGATAAATGTGGATTTATAGATGTTTTTAAATAAAAAAAAAACGCTTTATTATTTACAAAAATCGAAGTAGAAATTTTGAATTAAAATGGCCCGACCAGTCAAAATGACTGGTCTGGTATATCTAATGTTAATTGATAATTTAAAAAAATGATGAAACATTATTGAAGGTGTTGATGTTTAACATACTCGAATGACTTGTAACTTTTATAATTCATTCAAATCTTATGATATTTTTGTGCAATTACTTTTATCTCACGTTGTATATAAAAAAGATTTGGAGATTAAAATTTCCCTTGTATGAAGACTCGTTAGAAAGGAGAAAGAAACACAGAGAGACAGAGAGAGAGAGAGACAGAGAGAGAGAGAGAGAGAGATGAGCATGAGTTTGATGAAAAGAGAAAGATAGATGACATGTTCCATTAATCGCAAGTAAATACGCGTACCGATAAAATAATCTCAAATTTCTCTTCGTCGAAAGGTCACGTCGTTCTCGATCTTTCCCTTTTCATTAGAAATCATCTTGTCAACAAATATGATTTAGATATTAATTCTATTTCATTCGTTTTATCTTTTGTCCAATTAATATTACGTTTCCCTCGCAAAATTAGTTCACATTTTTTAAATTAAATTCTTCATTTGTGTGGCGCGAAATTTGAACGTAAGAAAGTGTTTTTCATCTTTTTTTCGATGTATTGATCGATTTTTTTTTTTGTTTATTAAAAATTAATATTGTCTCAATGATTATTTTGGTTTATTCAAAAATTAGTAAAAATAGAAATTTTGTTTATTAAAAAGATATTATTATTATTAAGTAATAATTAAGAAAATATGGATCAAATGAATGATGATAAAAAAAATGTATATTATATATATATAATATTATTATTATTATTATTAATTAATAAAAATATTATTAACAATATTATAATAATATTATTATTTATAATATACATAATATAATATAATATATAATATAATATATATTTTATATTTATTATTAATATTATTATTAATATTATTATTTTTATCTGTATCAGTTAACTGGTATCAATAAGAAAAATGTGTAAAAAAAAAAAAAAAAAATTAAAATACGTAAATCTCAGAACTGTCGACAACAGTTTTTATGTTTCAACAATT